AATACACTATATCTAACGATTATTGTGTATTAACGTGGATACATTGAAGCTTTTGATATAGATGAAAGTTTAAATCAACAAAACATGTAATAAATGCAATTTCGTGAATACGTTTGGATGCACGTACACTATACATATAAATTACATGTAAGATAAAAGTTCTTCTGAATATATATATGGGGATGGGAGTTAATAATAATATGGTAATTATTATAATTTCGGAAATCTGTAAAAATACATTCCAAAACTATGGGGAAATTCCGGGCGCATTAGTCTAAAAAAATAACCGTTTATTTTCTTTACGACATATAGTAAGACATGAGCTGTATAATACATTTCAAATAGCATTTAAAAATAATTTTGATATAATGCTCGCGTTCAAATGAGTACATTCTGAATTATCATTAAGTGGGTCTTGGTGCGGGGAACTCCTAGCTGCCCCGCATTTGTTCCTATGCGGCGCAAAACTTTAGTAATACGGAAAATTGCGGGGGGAAAGACCACCTAGTGAAGGCGTTTAATAATACGGCCGTCAGACCTTTCGTGAATACCGCCCCTGAAGCTGCAGATCATGTTGAATCGGTCAAGTGCAAGATTACGTTACGGCCGAGATTGTGCTACGATTCCTTCGTCGCCAGATCGGTGTCCTGTGCCGCCGATATAACACCAGGGCGAGTAGACGCGCATTATCGACACACTAAGATGCATCATGAGTTAACATCCTCGTGCCGTGGCTGCATTATCAGACCTAACGTCGAGGATTTATCCAAGACTTACGAGTAAGACCTAAACACATCTTCACTCGTGTCTTCCTCACGTCAGGTTGTGTCGTAGGTAACCGTACTATACATTGTATAGTACGGTTACCTACGACAGAATTTGCATAAGATTCACGAAATTCAGCATAATACCTCTATGACTACAAAGGGTTACCACCATCGTCACAGTCCTTCTTGATGTCTGACACGTTCACGTACGTGCAGATTAACTGATAAATTTCAACCAGAAGTGGCCCACGGGAGCATGTGCAACAATTATGCGCCGATTGCACTCTCTAGAAACAAGACAATTTGATTTTGATGCGTGTACCTGTGCGCCATCACAAGCGCGAGCAATCTGTTACTACTGTGTAAAAAATAGGTTAAAATCACGATGTCCAAATCACACATTTTTTACTTATTTGCGGTATTAATATTAGCATTAACCGAACACGTCGAATGTTTGTGAAACATTAATGCCATGAATCCAAAATTCTCCTTTCTTCAAACACTCCTAATTTGGTTAACAGTGGAGCAAAACCTCAATCTCTCATTTATCCTTATTCATGACGGATAGCTGGAAACGTTCATACGTACAGACGGAGGAGACCTTTTTGATTCCACGGAAGGATGCGACTGAGATAAGACGCTTAGGGCCAAGGATAAGTCCGATATGCGAAGCTGAGCCTCGCCCGGGCTATGAGGGGAGCCCGGCCTGTGCCGACTAATGTCGACTCGCTTTCAGCGTGTCAGCTGAAGCCGACTCGGTTTAGTCCTTACCCGCCGTGGTGCCCAGCCACAGCAGTAACTCCCAGGCGACAATTGCAACTTCTCGCGCCTGGGCGGGGCGCGAACCGCCGACCCCTCGAATGAGAAGCCGACACGTTACCATTGTACTAGCCTGGAGGCTGCTTATGGCCAAGATTACCTTTTTTTTTTTTCTAATTAATGGTTGCGGACTGATGACTTCAAGGCTGCGTGAAAGACACCCCTGATTTCTCATTTGACGATGATTAGCGTGAATCGGCGTCAATCTGGATCTCATTACTGACTTGTCAAACCTTTAGTTTGCAAGTTGGAATCAACCAAAGCCAACTTTCTTCTCGTGATATTGTTTGTCGGTCTATAAAAAGCCAGGAAAAAGCCATCTTGAGATCAAGGCTTACAAAAATACTATTGGCATTATATGGAAATATAGCGAAACCAAATTGAATACATGTAGAACATATTTGCCTTAAAAAATCAACAGAGTACTGTCAGTGAATGGCTGAAGACTGACTGTTACAAATGCAATTTCTTACATTTGTATTAATATAACTAATGGGTAGAGTTTGCGTTCGGCGTCTGACGAGACGCTTTGTGCTTTTAGCAACAATGAAAGCATGTCATATCTCACAATCTATGAGAATTGAGATTGTGGCTATTGCAGAAATAAATTAAGTGCACATTTCTTCAGGGAGTTCAATGTGTTCTTTACCAGATGTATACATGTCTTAGGTCGTGCCGACAGCTCCGTCGAGGAGGCGGGGAAAGAGCCTGGGAGAAGATGGCGTCGGCAAGACAGGCTCCCTCGATCGCGAGCGGCCTCCTCGGCGTTCCTTCATAGCGGAGACCAGAGACCGAATGAAAAAGTCCGTTTCGCTCGACCGGCGGACCATGCCTGGCCTCAGCCGAAGCAAGTCGTCCAGCCGCGACAAAGTCAATCAGTCCCGTGAATCAATCGCTGGAAAACCAAGAAAGGGAAGGAAAAAGGATGCCAACAGCGTCCCCCTTGGCGCTGTCGCAGGCGCTGCAGCAGCTGGAACAGCAGCAGCGGCTGCGGGAGCTGTCATGATTGGTAGTGCAGATGCCGCTGAGGAAGTAGAAGCTGTAGCAGAAGCCGCTGATGAAATAGAGTCTGCAGTAGAAAATGCAACTGATGCTGCAGCAGATGCCGCTGACGATGTAGCAGCAGATGCTGCTGATGCTGTTGAAGATGCAGCAGCAGATGCCGCTGATGCTGTTGAAGATGCAGCAGCAGATGTCACTGATGCTGCTGAAGATGCAGCAGCAGATGCCGCTGATGCTGCAGCAGATGCAGCTGACGATGCAGCAGCAGATGCCGCTGATGCTGTTGAAGATGCAGCAGCAGATGCCGCTGATGCTGTAGCAGATGCAGCTGACGATGCAGCAGCAGATGCCGCTGATGCTGCAGCAGATGGTGTTGAAGATGCAGCAGCAGATGCCGCTGATGCTGTAGCAGATGCAGCTGAAGATGCAGCAGCAGATGCCGCTGATGCTGTAGCAGATGCTGTTGACGATGCAGCAGCTGATACCACTGATGCTGCTGATGCTGTAGTAGATGCAGCTGACGATGCAGCAGCAGATGCCGCTGATGCTGTTGAAGATGCAGCAGCAGATGCCGCTGATGCTGTAGCAGATGCAGCTGACGATGCAGCAGCAGATGCTGCTGATGCTGCAGCAGATGCTGTTGAAGATGCAGCAGCAGATGCCGCTGATGCTGTTGAAGATGCAGCAGATGCAGCTGAAGATGCAGCAGCAGATGCTGCTGATGCTGTTGAAGATGCAGCAGATGCAGCTGAAGATGCAGCAGCAGATGCCGCTGATGCTGTTGACGATGCAGCAGCAGATGCCGCTGATGCTGTTGACGATGCAGCAGCAGATGCCGCTGATGCTGTTGACGATGCAGCAGCAGATGCCGCTGATGCTGTTGACGATGCAGCAGCAGATGCCGCTGATGCTGCAGCAGATACTGTTGAAGATGCAGCAGCAGATGCCGCTGATGCTGTTGACGATGCAGCAGCAGATGCCGCTGATGCTGTTGACGATGCAGCAGCAGATGCTGCTGATGCTGTAGCAGATGCAGCTGAAGATGCAGCAGCAGATGCCGCTGATGTAGCAGATGCTGTTGACGATGCAGCAGCAGATGCCACTGATGCTGCAGCAGATGCTGCTGAAGATGCAGCAGCAGATGCTGCTGATGCTGTTGACGATGCAGCAGCAGATGCCGCTGATGCTGTAGCAGATGCAGCAGCAGATGCTGCTGATGCAGCAGCAGATGCCGCTGATGCTGCAGCAGATGCTGTTGAAGATGCAGCAACAGATGCCACTGATGCTGCTGATGCTGTAGCAGATGCTACAGCAGATGCTGCTGATGCTGTTGACGATGCAGCAGCAGATGCCACTGATGCTGTAGCAGATGCAGCTGAAGATGCAGCAGCAGATGCTGCTGATGCTGCAGCAGATGCTGTTGACGATGCAGCAGCAGATGCCACTGATGTTGCAGCAGATGCTATTGATGCTGCAGCAGATGCCACTGATGCTGCAGCAGATGCTGTTGACGATGCAGCAGCAGATGCCGCTGATGCAGCAGCAGATGCCACTGATGCTGCAGCAGATGCCACTGATGCTGCACCAGATGCTGTTGACGATGCAGCAGCAGATGCCGCTGATGCAGCAGCAGATGCCACTGATGCTACAGCAGATGCTGTTGACGATGCAGCAGCAGATGCCGCTGATGCAGCAGCAGATGCCGCTGATGCTGCAGCAGATGCTGTTGACGATGCAGCAGCAGATGCCACTGATGCTGCAGCAGATGCCGCTGATGCTGCAGCAGATGCCACTGATGCTGCAGCAGATGCTGTTGACGATGCAGCAGCAGATGCCACTGATGCTGCAGCAGATGCTGTTGACGATGCAGCTGCAGATGCCGCTCGCTGATGCAGCAGCAGATGCCACTGATGCTGCAGCAGATGCCACTGATGCTGCAGCAGATGCTGTTGACGATGCAGCTGCAGATGCCGCTGATGCAGCTGCAGATGCCACTGATGCTGCAGCAGATGCTGTTGACGATGCAGCAGCAGATGCCACTGATGCTACAGCAGATGCTGTTGACGATGCAGCTGCAGATGCCGCTGATGCAGCAGCAGATGCCACTGATGCTGCAGCAGATGCCACTGATGCTGCAGCAGATGCTGTTGACGATGCAGCTGCAGATGCCGCTGATGCAGCTGCAGATGCCACTGATGCAGCAGCAGATGCTGTTGACGATGCAGCAGCAGATGCCGCTGATGCAGCAGCAGATGCCGCTGATGCAGCAGCAGATGCCGCTGATGCAGCAGCAGATGCCGCTGATGCAGCAGCAGATGCCGCTGATGCAGCAGCAGATGCCACTGATGCAGCAGCAGATGCCACTGATGCTGCTGATGCTGTTGACGATGCAGCAGCAGATGCCGCTGATGCAGCAGCAGATGCTGCTGATGCTGTAGCAGATGCTGTTGAAGATGCAGCAGCAGATGCCACTGATGCTGCAGCAGATGCTGTTGACGATGCAGCAGCAGATGCCGCTGATGCAGCAGCAGATGCTGTAGCAGATGCTGTTGAAGATGCAGCAGCAGATGCCACTGATGCTGCAGCAGATGCTGCTGATGCTGTTGAAGATGCAGCAGCAGATGCCACTGATGCTGCAGCAGATGCTGTTGAAGATGCAGCAGCAGATGCCGCTGATGCAGCAGCAGATGCTGCTGATGCTGTTGAAGATGCAGCAGCAGATGCCACTGATGCTGCTGATGCTGTAGCAGATGCTGTTGACGATGCAGCAGCAGATGCCGCTGATGCAGCAGCAGATGCTGCTGATGCTGTTGAAGATTCAGCAGCAGATGCCACTAATGCTGCTGATGCTGTAGCAGATGTTGTTGAAGATGCAGCAGCAGATGCTGCTGATGCTGCAGCAGATGTTGTTGAAGATGCAGCAGCAGATGCTGATGCTGTAGCAGATGCAGCTGAAGATGCAACAGCAGATGCCACTGATGCTGCCGCAGATGTTGTTGACGATACAGCAGCAGATGCCACTGATGCTGTAGCAGACGCAGCTGAAGATGCAGCAGCAGATGCTGCTGATGCTGTAGCAGATGCTGTTGACGATGCTGCAGCAGATGTTGAAGATGCAGCAGCAGATGCTGCTGATGCTGCAGCAGATGCTGCTGATGCTGTTGAAGATGCAGCAGCAGATGCCACTGATGCTGTAGCAGATGCTGCTGATGCTGTAGCAGATGCTGCTGATGCTGTAGCAGACGGAGCTGAAGATGCAGCAGCAGATGCCACTGATGCTGCTGATGCTGCGGCAGATGCCGAAGCAGATGTCGCCGACGAAGAGGCTGCAGGCAAAGCAGTCGTCCTCCCGAGGGAGGAGGCCGAGGACGTGATGAGCGTCGGCGCGTCAGCAGAGGCTCCAGAGGATCTAGGAGCGGATGCTGCCGCTGATGCTGCAGATGATCCTAAGGAAACGGACCTTGCAACAGGAGAGGATGACGCAGCAGGTGCGGATACTGGAACCGAAGAAGCTGCTGACGCTGTAACTAATGAAACTGATGTTGCAGAAGGGGATGCTGATGCTTTAACAGATGGCACAGATGCAGCAGATACTACAGCAGATGCTGATGGTCCAGAAGCAGATGCCACTGATGTTGCAGCAGATGCCACTGATGCTGCAGCAGATGCCACTGATGTTGCAGCAGATGCCGCCGCTGATGATGCAGCAGCAGATGCCACTGATGCAGCAGCAGATGCCGCTGATGCTGTAACAGATGCTGCAGCAGATGCCGCTGATGCAGCAGCAGATGCCACTGATGCAGCAGCAGATGCTGTTGATGCTGCAGCAGATGCCGCTGATGCTGTAACAGATGCAGCAGCAGATGCCGCTGATGCAGCAGAAGATGCTGCTGATGCTGTAACAGATGCAGCAGCAGATGCCACTGATGCAGCAGAAGATGCTGCTGATGCTGTAACAGATGCTGCAGCAGATGCCGCTGATGCAGCAGCAGATGCCACTGCTGATGCAGCAGATGCCGCTGCTGATGCAGCAGATGCCGCTGATGCTGTAACAGATGCTGCAGCAGATGCCGCTGATGCAGCAGCAGATGCCACTGATGCAGCAGCAGATGCTGCTGATGCTGTAACAGATGCTGCAGCAGATGCCGCTGATGCTGTAACAGATGCAGCAGCAGATGCCACTGATGCAGCAGAAGATGCTGCTGATGCTGTAACAGATGCTGCAGCAGATGCCACTGATGCAGCAGAAGATGCTGCTGATGCTGTAACAGATGCAGCAGCAGATGCCACTGATGCAGCAGCAGATGCCGCTGATGCAGCAGCAGATGCCACTGATGCAGCAGCAGATGCCGCTGATGCAGCAGCAGATGCCGCTGATGCAGCAGCAGATGCTGTTGAAGATGCAGCAGCAGATGCCGCTGATGCAGCAGCAGATGCTGTTGAAGATGCAGCAGCAGATGCAGCAGCAGATGCCACTGATGCAGTAGCTGATGCCGCTGATGCAGCAGCAGATGCCGCTGATGCAGCAGCAGATGCCGCTGATGCAGCAGCAGATGCCGCTGATGCAGCAGCAGATGCCGCTGATGCAGCAGCAGATGCCACAGATGCAGCAGCAGATGCAGCAGTAGATGCCACTGATGCAGTAGCTGATGCAGCAGCAGATGCCGCTGATGCAGCAGCAGATGCCGCTGATGCAGCAGCAGATGCCGCTGATGCAGCAGCAGATGCCACTGATACAGTAGCTGATGCAGCAGCAGATGCCGCTGATGCAGGAGCAGATGCCACAGATGCAGCAGCTGATGCAGCAGCAGATGCCACTGATGCAGCAGCAGATGCCGCTGATGCAGCAGCAGATGCCACAGATGCAGCAGCAGATGCCACAGATGCAGAAGCAGATGCCGCTGATGCAGCAGCAGATGCCGCTGATGCAGCAGCAGATGCCACAGATGCAGCAGCAGATGCCACGGATTCAGCAACTGATGCCGCTGATGCAGCAGCAGATGCCGCTGATGCAGCAGCAGATGCCGCTGATGCAGCAGCAGATACCGCTGATGCAGCAGCAGATACCGCTGATGCAGCAGCAGATGCAGCAGTAGATGCCGCTGATGCAGCAGCAGATGCCGCTGATGCAGCAGCTGATGCCGCTGATGCAGCAGCAGATGCCGTTGATGCAGCAGCAGATGCCACTGATGCAGCAGCAGATGTAGCAGCAGATGCCGTTGATGCAGCAGCAGATGCCACTAATGCAGCAGCTGATGCAGCAGCAGATGCCACTGATGCAGCAGCTGATGCCACTGATGCAGCAGCTGATGCAGCAACAGATGCCACTGATGCAGCAGCAGATGTAACAGCAGATGCTGCAGCAGATGCCACTGATGCCGCAGCAGATGCCGCTGATGCAGCAGCAGATGCCACTGATGCAGCAGCAGATGCAGCAGCAGATGCCACTGATGCAGCAGCTGATGCCGCTGATGCAGCAGCAGATGTCACTGATGCAGCAGCAGATGCCACTGATGCAGCAGCAGATGCCACTGATGCAGCAGCAGATGCCGCTGCTGATGCTGTAACAGATGCCGCCGATGCAGCAGCAGATGTGTTTTTTCCGAACTCGGAAACAGGGATTTCGGATGAGAAAGAGTCAGTCGCTGGAGAATCTTCTGAAGGACCAGCAGCAGCTGCGGAAGCTGAAAATCTTGATTCAGAAAACCAAGTCGGCGCGGCCGGCGCTGAGGATCTAGCGGGCACGGATGTGCCCGCTGACGCGACGGCTGTGGGGGATGACGGCCGCACAGGAGAGTCAGCAGAGGCCCCACAGAGCGCTGCGGCAGATCAAACGGGGGAAAGATTCTACATCGGCGCTTCTCCCGAGACCATCTCGATGGCCGAGAGCGCTGGAGACGTAGTCTCGGTGGTCGCCACCGGCTACAACGCCCGCCAGCAGCAGTTCGAGTTCGACGAGTCGGATGAGGTGGGTTGGCTGGATGGCTGAGTGGTAGGGCAGGCAGGCCGAGGCCGGGGAGGAAGAGAGGGGCTGGGGCTGGGCGAGGAAGGGGTAAGGGAGAGGGCCTGAGGGCCGAGCGAGGAAGGGGTGAGGGAGAGGGGTTGGGGGCTGGGCGAGGAAGGGGTGAGGGAGAGGGGCTGGGGGCTGGGCGACGCTGCTGCAGATGCCGCTGCTGATGTAGCAGCAGACGCCACTGATGCAGCAGCAGATGCTACTGATGCCCTTCGGGCTGGGCGAGGAAGGGGTGAGGGAGAAGGGCCAGGGGCTGGGCGAGGAAGGGGTGGAGCCAGTCTGACCTGTCGCCAGAGGACGGGTAAGTTCCCTTAGGAAGGAACAGCTCAAGACGTCGGAGAGCCTCGCTATTAGAGGTCCGAGGTCAGGTCATGTGGATTTGTTGTGCTTATGTCTGCCTTTGCATGCTAGCAGATACCGCAATGCCATTTAGTTAACAAATGCTTTTGTAATCTGAGGTAACTGTAGTCTAACATTATTGCTGGCATCTCAACATGATAAAATTTGATATATATACGTATATAGACCAAACACACACACAGACACACACACTCACTCACTCACTCACTCACACACACACAAACTCACTCACTCACTCACTCACTCACACACACACACACACACACACACACACACACACACACACACACACACACACACACACACACACACACACACACACACTCTCACATACACTCACACACATTCACATACACAGACACGCAGATATATATATATATATATATATATATATATATATATATATATATATATATATATATATATATATATATACACACACACACATATATATATAGATAGATAGATATAGATATACATATATACGTATATATATACCGCTGCATATTTAGACTTACATTCAAAAAGGAAAAGAAACAATGCTTTAGGAGCTTTTGGAGTTCAGGGACTGCTTAGCAATTGCAAACTCTTTATCTTGGCCCATATAGCTCGTACCAAAGTATCTAGCAGAGTTATAACACATAAAGATGTTAGCATTAAAGTACAAGTCAGCATGTTTTGACTCCCGCTGTTACTACTGTTAGTGGAGGCTCTAGTCGCCGCTCCCATAGTACTCATTTACGGGTTATGTCGATGACATGTCTGCGCTGTAGTTAACGCGAGTTAGTGTACAATTACAGAAGAATAACGTAGTTAATATGCCTCTAATGTGCCTGTGCCTCCTATGTGTTTGCTCTGGGCATGGCAGGAGGATGACGACCTAGTGGGCGGGGTCGTGGCCGTAGGCGCCGCCAGTGCTGCCGTCCTGGCTGCTGGGACCAGTATCGCTGCTGTCAACCCCCTGGCCAGAGTGCGTACTTCCCGCATCCTGGGAAATGTCCAGTTAAAGGGGCTTGCTTGATGGCACCAGCATGCTTGG